CATTAATACTTTTCAGGACTTTTATAGAGAGGGATATTATCGTCGCTGTGAATGAAATGGCCGTCAATTCTGTGTCCGAACTGAGAGAGAGAGAGAAGTAATGTTTTAATGTTATTTATTGTGTGTGTATTGTGATTGTGATTGTCTCATGTGATCAGCTATTAGTAGACACAACGAGAGGTATATAATCGGATAGCATGTCCGACGGCTTCGCATAGATATAGTTAATCTTGGGATCAATTAAAGCCCGAATTCGGCACAAGCCGTCCATCAGTAGCCGAACCGAGTGTTGACCGCTATCGCCATCAATGGTGGCACAGATTGTGGTCAAGCGGTGGCCATAGAGTTGACAGACGGCCACAAAGTGGTGGCTTTCGTCTGCCGTATAATTGAACGACAATTTGGGAAACATTAGTGTATTGTCCGCACCGTTAGTGTTGACCTACAGATGCTACGAGTCGTCCAGACATCGGGAGTGCATGAACTGGACGTACGATAGATTGCGGCAGAGAGAGAGAGAGAGAGAGAGAGAGAGAGAGGCCGCTCTTGATTATGGTCAAAATTATGACCGACGGGTGGTCTAGTTTATTATTAAATGAATACTTGCATGTATATTAAACCAAAAATAACAAAAAATTTAAATTGTTTCTAATTTAAATTATACTATTTTAAAATTTACAAAAATGTTTTTAATAATTTGGTAACAATTAACATAATTATTATATTTGCATTCAATGAATAATTTGAAATTTTATTTAATTACAAAATATGTTAATAAAAATTTTATAAATATAAAACTAATATATTTATTTAACTGTATTTAATTTGTAAATTTTAATTAAGTGTTGTAAACACATTAAATATGTATGTAGTAATTATAATTACTTAAAAACCTAATTTTACAGTACACAGTACTATACAGTACTGTGCCTAGCGTCTAAACAATTATGGTAAATTATGGCACAGTCAGTCTTCCGCGTTTTCAATGAATTTTGGCATAATTAATTTTTGTAGTGATCCATAGGGTTCACCCAATTAAGAGTTCAAATTGCCTCGACTTCTGTTAAGTACACTATTATTACTTTCCAATCATTTGCAGTGTTAGCAACACATCTGTGAAAACATATTTAAAATTACAATTGTATAATCATTAAAAGTAGAATTTAAATAAAATAATTTCTAACTTATAATCAAACTTGATCATGTCCGTTTCCAAAAACCAAAAACAACAGCCTGAGCGAAAGTACCCGATGCCAGAATACGTGATAACAATTATGCCGTTTGAGTTCAACCCTCTACATGATGTGGAGCCGAGAGCCGGTGCTGTCCACCGGTGGTCAATAGAGACGAGTCTGTTCACGGAGAGGGAGTACCGGCGCATACGTAACGTAGCAGCTCAATTTGTAGCCTATTTTTACCCATTTTGTACGGACCCGGACCGGTACGACACCATGGTTAAAATTATGATAAACTTTGGTATACTAGACGATCATTTGGAGGCCCCGTACGGCGATATGTATCGCCGGGTGTCCGAAGTGGACACCATTTGCGGTCAAATGCACGGCGTGTGCGATAAGTTGTTGGCCGCTATTGATAGTACCGGTGACGGACTGCATGTGTCCGCACACCACTGGAAACCCTATGTGTTGGCCGCGTATGCCTTGTATGACACCATTTGCGCCAATTATGATGACATCCAGAAGCGCCGGTTCGTGCGCTTAACGCGCGATTGGGTGGAGGGTATGATCGACGAGAGCCACGATATTGAGCGCAAAAGACAATTCAATAATCTTGATGAATTTTATGAGGTTTAATATTTATAATATATTTGTTAAGTAATTTAATTAACAATTAGGTTAATAATTAACAATAATTGTATTAATCTTTGCATAATAAATATAGGCCATATTATATGGCTATTATTTTCTGCTAATGTTTGCTCACTATTAGGTAAGGGAAAAGTCGGTGGCGAGTGGTATGTGTTTACAGATAATCGAATACATGTACGGACTCTACGTACGGGACGACGAGTGGCGGAACCCTATATTTCAAGCATTGGTCAAACAGTTAAATCGTGTTATATTAATGTCTAATGATATGGTGTCTCTCGACAAAGAGCTGATGGACAACGGCGGCCAACTGTGCCGGCTCTACAACGGTGTGGCCGTATTGGCACAGATGGACAACATATCACTTACAGAGTCTATGACTCGATACGCTGAGATGTATCTGGAGTTAGAGAGAAGTACCATGGTGCTTGCTACTGAAATGATGGAGGCCGACTGGACCAGTCCGGACACCAAAGTGTGGGTCCGTCACGCACTGTATATCGCTGGCGGGCATTGGAAAGTTTCGACCATTTGTGATCGTTATAATACTATTCTTGATGTTAATTGTAATGAGTAGCACATGGTCGTTTATATTTATTCAGGGGTAATGTTTTATAACTAATAATTATTTTAATTTAAAAATTAAATTATATGTTTTGTTGTGGTCCATACTTTAAATTTTTATTAATTATAATTAATTAAATGTTTATGATATTATGGTATTGACCACTCTACTCACTTACATCTACACATGATTCAAATAGCAAGTTTATAACCAAAAGATTAATATTTAATGTACCAGATTTAGTATGATAAAAATAATTTTTAAAATAAATAGAATAAATATATCAAAAATATAATAATTAATTAAAGTTTAAGAGAAAACCAAATTCATTTAGTGTTAAACTTTTGACAAAATCGTCGATACCTGACAATTGCCTCGTCATTGCGGGTCAATATCGGGCGCTTAGGTTTTCGACGATTCAACCAAATAATAGCATCCGAATCAATCTATAATATATAAACGCAAAATAAAAAATTTAAATTGTCCGTATTAACATACAATTTTCTTATACTTTATCTTATCTGACCCTCATAAATAATCTAATGGAAACATTTTTTAGATTAATAAAGGTTTAGATTAATATAATTGATAAATTATAAAACTTAATAAGTTATTATTTCACAATAAAGATGAAATATAAACATTCTAAAATATTCCTAAGGTAGTATACGGAATGCTCCAAACTTTTAGAAAGTTCTCCGCTTTCGGAACAAACAGTTAATGAACTTACAAATCAATTGTAAAATCAATGCTCTAACAATAACCATACAGGTTTATTAACAAATTTAGCAAATAACATACTTGTTTATTCAGCATATACTTAAATGCTGTAAAATATAGCTTGCTTAAAATAGATGACTTAAAAAATAATGTTACTCTGACCAACGTTTCACCATGATGCAATGGAACAGCAGTAACCAACAATAATACGGTGCCCAACATTGAGTCCTCTGTGCCAAAGTATACCAATTCAGTCACTGGTGACACGTGACACAGTTTAACGGGGAAAGTGATCAACTCAATGCCGAGTAAATAGATGGTAAATCTACTGGTGATTGTGTTCTCCGTCTCTGTGTCTTTCGTGCTGTCAAATGAACATTTTAAACTAGCCATGTATGGTATGAGTTCCTGGTGTACGTAATGAAGGTGCTGTAAGTCGGATCCATTCTCCATTATGATCTATCATAGTAAAAACAAATGGCTCATTATTATTGTTAAAGTTATTTATTTAGTAAATATCAATAATATAACTTATTAATTTAAAATTTTAATACAAATTATTAGATGAGGTGCAAATAAGCCTTTGTATGCGGTACGCCTTATCACGTGACTTAAGGTTGTAAAAGGCTTATTAATAGTTATCATGGTTATCAAAGATTAAATTATATTGAATATAATAAGACACAGATTAATAACACCTTAATGTACCTGATAGTTACAATGCACAAATCTAAGGAAACTCCCTTTCACTGATAGATTATTAGAGTTGTTTCCGAGAAAATCGTTGGGGTAGTGATTGGGGTCCTTATCCTCCGAGTGGTGCCAAACATATATCACTTCATTCTTCTCTATTGTCTGCCATTTCTTTACCACA